TCGGCCCGGCCACGGCTGCGAGCAAGACGGAGCCGGGATGCTGCAGGCAAAGCGACGCGAGGCCTTGTTTCACTGCAAGGTTTTGCAAAAAAGCCCGGCGTTGCTTGCGGGGGGCGATGTTCGGGTGAGGGGGGGGAAGGCCGCAGCGTGCAAACGCCGAGGGGTTCGCTCCCCCCGTGCAACGCGGGGCTCGCTCTGCAAAAAAGCAAAGCTTTGCAAGGAGCGACAGGCTTCCCCAGGGGTTAATCCCCTCCCGACCCTTCGCAATCCGGCGAAAAGCAAAGTCTGTTCTTTGAAATGTTTTTCTTCTTCCCCCCACCCCCAAAAAGGAACCCGGATCCCGGCAGGTTTTGGTGGGGTTGGTTTGAAACTCGTCTGGATGAGGTGATGGAGGTGGAGGAAAAGGAGAGGTGGGGAGGGAGGGTGATGCACTGGGTCAGAGCGGGGATGCAAAAAGGGGGAGGAATAATCCAGCCTGGGTGCAAATGCAGACGGTGCAGTACTTTAACCCGGTGCAAATCCAAAAAGAAGGAGAAATGATCCAGCCTGGGTGCAAATGCAGACGGTGCAATGCTTTAACCTGGTGCAAATGCAAAAAGAAGGAGAAATGATCCAGCCTGAGTGCAAATGCAAATGGTGCAGTACTTTAACCCGGTGCAAATCCAAAAAATGGAGAGAAATAATCCAGCCTGGGTGCAAATGCAGACGATGTAGTGCTTTAACCTGGTGCAAATGCAAAAAGAAGGAGAAATGATCCACCTTGGGTGCAAATGCAAACGGTGCAGTGCTTTAACCCGGTGCAAATGCAAAAAATGGAGAGCAATAATTAAACCCGCTGCAAATGCAAACGGTGCAATAATTAAAAAGGATGTGGATGCAAAAGGAGGGAAGAATAATGGGGCCCAAGCGCAGAAGTGAGCAGTGCAAAGATTGGACTCAGTGCAAATGCAAAAAGAAGGAGAAATTATCTAGCCTGGGTGCAAATGCAGACGGTGCAGTGCTTTAACCTGGTGCAAATGCAAAAAGAAGGAGAAATTATCTAGCCTGGGTGCAAATGCAGACGGTGCAGTGCTTTAACCTGGTGCAAATCCAAAAAATGGAGAGAAATAATCCAGCCTGGGTGCAAATGCAGACGATGCAGTGCTTTAACCTGGTGGGTTAAATGGGGCCCAAGCGCAGAAGGAGCAGTGCAATGATTGAACTCAGTGCAAATGCAAAAAGAAGGAGAAATGATCTAGCCTGGGTGCAAATGCAGATGGTGCAAGGCTTTAACCCAGCGCAAATGCGAAAATGGGGAGAAATAATCCAGTCTGGGTGCAACTGCAAACGGTGTGATGCTTTAAGCCAGTGCAAAAGCAAAAATAGGGAGAAATATAATCCGGCCTGGGTGCAAACACAAACAGTGCCGTGATTTAACCTAGCACAAAAGGAGGGAAGAATAAGCCAGCTCAGGTGCAAATGCCAGCGGTGCAACGATTAAAAATGACGCAGATGCAAAAGAAGGGAGGAATAACCGGGCCCAGGTGCAGAGGCAAAGGGTGCAATGATTTAACCTGACGCAAAGGCAGAAAATTGAGAGAAATAATTAAACTCGATGCACATGCAACAAAAACCAACCAACCAAAGAAGGATGCAATGATTAAACCTGGTGCAAATGCAAAAGGAAGGAGGAATGATCCAGCCTGGGAGCAAACAACCGGTCCCAGAGAGCTGGGTTCTCTCCCCTCCTGGGTGCCTGGGCCCCCCTCACACGCCTGGGCCCCCCAAGACCCCTGGGTCCCTCCCAAATGCCTGGGTCCCCCCCTGAGTGCCTGGGACCCCCCAAGACCCCTGGGTCCCCCCCAAGACCCCTGGGTCCCTCCCAGATGCCTGGGACCCCCCCAGATGCCTGGGTCCCCCCAAGACCACTGGGCCCTTCCCAGATGCCTGAGACCCCCCAAGACCCCTGGGTCCCTCCCAAATGCCTGGGTCCCCGCAAGACCCCTGGGCCCTTCCCAGATGCCTGAGACCCCCCAAGACCCCTGGGTCCCTCCCAAATGCCTGGGTCCCCGCAAGACCCCTGGGCCCTTCCCAGATGCCTAGGTCCCCCCCAGGTCCCTGGGACCCCCAAAAACATCTGGGATTCTCCCAAATGCCTGGGTCCGCCCTGAGTGCCTGGGACCCCCCAAGACCACTGGGTCCCCTCCAGATGCCTGCAGACGCCTGCGACCCCCCAAGACCCCTGGGTCCCTCCCAGATGCCTGGGTTTCCCCAAAACATCTGGGTCCCCCCCAGATGCCTGGGTCCCCCCAAGGCCCCTGGGTCCTACCCAAATGCCTGGGTCCCCTCCAGGTCCCTGGGACCCTCCAAGACCCCTGGGCCCTTCCCAAATGCCTGGGTCCCCCCTGGGTGCCTGGGACCCCCCAAGACCCCTGGGTCCCTCCCAAATGCCTGGGTCCCCACAAGACCCCTGGGCCCTTCCCAGATGCCTGGGTCCCCCCCAGGTCTGTGGACCCCTCCAAAACCCCTGGGTCCCTCCCAAATGCCTGGGTCGCTCCTGGGTGCCTGGGTCCCCCCTGGATTCCTGGATCCCTCCTGGGTGCCTGGGACCCCCCCAAGACCCCTGGGTCCCTCCTGGGT